GTTACAAACTGACTCCGGCCCCCCACCAGAGAAGGGGAAAGTTATGTGGCCCTTACAGGAAAATGTTTGGGGACCCCTGCTTTAGATCGTGGCACTAACAGGACATGACAGATTGTGGACATATGTACCTTGAACTTGGTCCAGAGGCAGTGTGAGGTTTTTCTCTGCAGGTATGTACTTCAGTACGACCGTCAGCTCTCCTTTATACTGCATGGTGGAGTCTATGCTGCTCTCCACCTACACGTGTCAAATAAATCATCTCAGACCTCTGCAGCTTCTTCACAGGTTGAATGAGGAGGATGAGAGGTGCTGATTGTGGCTCCTACCCTGGGCTGCAGAGTGTACCACTCCTCCATCTGGGAGTCGAACTCCCACGAGTCAAAGGTCAACTCCACCTCCCCCAGGAAGCTGTTGTATCCAAACCGGTCATGATGCCACACAGACACCTGCAGGGTCCGAGTCTCCAGCTGCGAGCGGCTGATCACATACTAAAAAGACAACGAAACATCAGCTCAGTGAGGKTTTGGGATGAAAAGATTTGAGTTTTGAGAGTTTCTTTRTGCTGCAGACCCTTAGGTTCTCATTGAAAACGGGGTTGATGGTGTTGGGTTTGATGCTGGTCTTCCTCTTGCTCTGTCGAGACGTGTCCGGCAGCAGGTAAGTCTTCACATACCTGCCACAACAACAAAACATTACATAAAACATCAATTCAAACACATCTAACCCTCGTGTTTGACATTATGTTCCTGTCAGAGGTTAAATGTCAGATTCTCACGCGTCTGTGCGTTGCCTCCTCTCATCTCCRGTGGCCAGATTGTGACACTCTTTCACCTGGACGTTGAGCGCACCGGTTCTGTAGTTGTAGCCGATGTTCAGGAGGATCTCGCCGCTCACCTTGGCGTTGCCATAGTCACCAGTCTCGCTGTACATGCTCATCATGCTGTTGATGCTGCTCTGTCAGGCCAAGACAAGACATCAGGATGAAGATGTGAGACGGGAAAAAAAGTGGGAGTATTTTATAAAAAAATAGGTATCAAAAGAAAAATAAACAAGGGTTGGATCATTTTACCTCACTGCTATTATAAACACAAAATAATAGTGAAAACAGTGATAACAAACAGAACAATATTAATATGCTCAACAAGATGTTTGCAATTTTGTTGTTTGAGTGACATTCAGTCAAAAAGTTCTGTCAGAGCTGTATTTACAGTATTAATCTGTTTCATAAAAAGGCAGAAGAAAAATATCAGAGAAGGGAAAATAATAACAGATAAATAAATATAATAATACATTTTCTCAAAGAAGTATAACTGAAAATCTAGATTGAGGAAAATATATTTCATTTAAAGCTTTGTGGATGGAAATACGTCGGATATTTGGTGTTGAAAAATAAACAGAAAGATAAAAGAACTTGAAAGTTGATGCAGTGGCTACAGGAAGTTGATCTGTCAGGCTGCACTGAGTTTTTTAGATTTCAGTCAGATCAATAAACAGATTTACAACCACAAGCCTAACGCTGGCTCAACCTTTGCATCTGCAAAATTCATTTAATAAAAATAGACTTTAAAGGGYCTGCAGCAGGTAATTAAGTCCCTGATTGCTGTTAAAGTGGAACAAATAAAACCAGCAGAACTGATCCATGTTGTGTTTTTAAACAAAAAGTTTATTTTCTGCAGGAACCAGATAAAATAATGAACTAATTTTGTGAGGAGTAATTTAAACAGGGAGAAAACCCAACAAGGAGTTGGAGGAGTTTTAGGGTCATTCTTAATCACTTTGTACTTAAGACATTCGTTTGTAAATGTTTTAACTGATTTTGTACTTTGTTTTAGTCCTATCTCACCTTTTATGAGTGTTTCTTGTTTTTCTTTTATTTATCATGAAGTTACAGTTTAATATTTATAGTTTTAAATTTGGAAATGTGCTGCTGCCGTTCTTTGCCAGGTCTCTCTTGAAAAAGAGATTTTTAATCTCAATGAGATCTACCTGGTTAAATAAAGGTTAATTTAAAATATGAACTCAGCATTTTCAGGATGAAAAGGTCTAATCAGGAAAAATAATCTTTATGTT